AAAAGAAATTATAATATAGCTTAGCTTGATGCAATAGATATTTCAAGAAGAAAAAAACATCTATAAGCAAGCACAACCCAAAAAAAAGAAGAAGAGTGGCTTCTGTTTATTTGACTTGGCAAGGGCATAAAAACCTCATGCCACGCTCAGAGGCACAAATGAACAATAATGTGGAGGCTGCTGCTCCTGGAAACTAAATCCAATTTAAACCATTCACTGGAGCAGATTGGATAATTAATTTTAATTTCCACCAAGGAATGATAGTGAATTCCGAACAAAGAAAGGGAAGAAAAAAAAAAAAAAAAAACCTGAAGAGGTCCATTCACTTCCCTGCAATATTAAAAATAAAAAGTTCTGATCAGCATGTATCTCAAACAATTGTGTTCATTTTGTACAATGCAATTATAAGAATACTCACTTTTTTTTTTTTCTTACAAAGAACAGTTTCTTGTTTCGTTAGTCCTAACCTTTCTTAACATACTGTGATGACATGAGAATAAGATTATATGACATCATGTATTTCCAATTATGAATGGGAAGAAAAACTTGCGGTCAGTAATTATACTGGAAAAAGCTGCTTCTTTGCCAAATGATGGGCTAATTCAAACACTTCGTGATGACCTCTGTTTTTCTGCACTAGATCAATGCAGGTCACATTTAAAACAATTGTTTCCCATGTGCCCTGATCACAACACAATGCTGGTGTGATGGGTGGTACAAGAAAGATGCAGAAATGCACTGGATGGCACTGTATAACGCATATCGCAGGGCACCACGATACTGTGTAGACCTGAATGGAGTGTACACTTTGTACGCTTACAATAAGTTTAAAAAAAGAAAAAGAGGTAAACATTGACTTGCATTGTAAAAATGCAAGGCACCGCTCCTTAATGCTGGTACAAAGCAGACACTAGCCCACATGCTAAAACGTAGGACACACATGGTCATGCATCAGGGAAAGAGTGATGGGAAAAACCCCAGAAATCAGCATGCAGGACAGTCAAGCTGCTACTGCCCCTGCATCCCAGAGCTCAGCTCCGGCACCCAGGAGTGAACAGGTGCTGTGCTGGTGATGTCATAAGCTGGGCCATATCCAGGACCAGTGTCCCTTGTGGCAGGAGCCCATGGACTGCGGGACTGTTCGGAGGATGTCCTTTTTCTCCCACAGTGTCTGTGTCACCCACCCAGACCTGACAGACGAACGCTTTGAGTGTGATGTCTGGGTAAACCAACGGCCTTCCCATGCACTACTGGACTCAGGTAGTATAATGACCCTGGTTCATCCCAGGGTAGTGGGGGGAGTTGACCCAGTACATAGGACCTTCAAGGTGGTGTTCATGGAGACACTAGAGAATATGCCATGGTGCCTGTAGCCCTAACCAGCGCATGTGGCATGGTGTCCCAGGACATTGGAGTGATCCCAGACTTGATCCACGATATCACTGTGGGGTGGGACTACCCCCTCTTTGTTGAACTGTGGGACTATGTAAGTCAGGGACTGCCAGGACTAACCGATGGTGTAGAAACCCCCTCAGTGGGGCAAGACTGAGTGTTGCAGCAAGCCAAAGCTGTGGACAACACTGAGAACAGTCATGATCTGCGTTGTGAAAATGAGCTTGGGGGTGCCAAACAGCTGAGAGTATCTCTGAGGGTGGAGAAGCCACACCTGCATGGGTCATGGTGGGAGAGGGTTCAGAAGAAACCAACCCTCTATAGATTATGCTGGATGAGGACGAGAGGGAGCCTTCTCCTGACCCTACTCTACCTGACCTGCAGGTTTCTAGGGGAGCATTTGGCACCGCCCAGATGAGGGACCCCACCCTGGTCAATGTGAGAGAGCAGATGCCAGTAATAAGTGGGGTACCCTAGGAGCCCGGGGTCACCAGCACATCCTTATGGTTTTGGATTATCCTATGAGGTACCTGGAGGCAATCCCTTTGAGGATACCTTTAAGGCTATTGCCCGGGAGTTCTTTACCATGTTTTCACTAACAGGGTTCCCGAGAGAAATTCTAACCAACCAAGGAACACCGTATATGTCCAGGGTGATGGCAAATTTGTGTAAGCTGTTTCAAATTAAACAACTGCGGACCTCTGTCTATCACCCTCAGACAGACGGCCTGGTTGAGCGATTCAACAAAACCCTGAAAACCATGCTCAGACAGGTGGTCCAAGAGGATGGGAAAGACTGGGACTGCCTACTGCCAGCATTAATGTTTGCCATACAGGAGGTACCTCAAGAGTCCACTGGATTCTATCCATTTGAGTTGGTCTACGGGCGGAGACCCCGGGGGTTGCTTGACTTGGTAAAAGAGACCTGGGAAAGTGTATCCTCACCCCACAAAACAGTCGTGGAGCATATTTCGCAGATGAGGGAGCAGATGGCCCAAGTCATGCCCCTAGTTCAGGAACATTTACAAAAGACCCTAGAAGCCCAGAGGAGATTGTACAATCAGTCAGCTAAGATAAGGCAGTTCCAGGTCGGGGACCATGTGGCCGTACTTATACCCACTGTGGGGAGCAAGTTCCAAGTGGCAGGGGCCCTTTGAGGTGGTAGAGAAAACCAGAGATGTAAACCACCAGGTACATCAGCCGGGAAAGAGGAAGCCATACCAAATTTAACATTTGAATCTGTTGAAACCCTGGAAAGATCGGGAGCAGGTGCCCGCTGTAGCTGGGGTGACAACAGTAGCTTCAGTCAGGGTAAACCATGTACCAGTGTCAGCATTCCTGTCCAAATCTCAATTACAAGAGGCTAAAGAGTTCCTCCAACATAACAAGGATATGTTTACCAATTTACCCAGTCTCACCAATGTGATAGAGCATGACATCATCACAGATCCAAATGTGAAGGTATGAGTAAAACCCTAGGGAATTCCCGAGGCCCACAGAAAGGCAGTCTCAGAGGAGATAAAAAGGATGTTGGAACTTGACATCATTGAAGAATCGCAGAGCGAATGGTCAAGTCCAATTGTGTTGGTACCGAAGCCCAACGGTACTCTGCGATTCTGTAATGACATTCCCAGAAGCTCAATGAGGTGTCGAAGTTTAATGCCTACCCCATGCCACGGGTGAATGAGCTGATAGAGAGATTGGGACCAGCCTGGTATATCACCACCCTAGATCTTACCAAAGGGTACTGGCAGATACCTTTGACTAAGGAGGCCAGAGAGAAAACAGCGTTCTCCACACCTGAGGACTAGTTCCAGTACAACAGAATGCCATTTAGGCTGCACTCTGCCCCAGTCACTTTCCAGAGGGCTATGGACACCACTCTTCGTCCGCACTGGGAGTACACCTCAGTCTATCTTGATGACATTGTCATCTTTAGCACAGACTGGGAGATCCATCTTCCCAAAGACCAGGCTGTGGTGGATTCCCTGAGGAAAGGAGGGTTTACCATCAACCCAGAAAAGTGTGCCATAGCAATGGAAGAAGTGAAGTACTTGGGGTACGTTGTAGGTAGAGGGTTGGTGAAGCCTCAAGTGAACAAAGTGGAGACTGTCCATGCTTGGCCTCGCCCAGCCACCAAGAAGCAGGTGTGTGCGTTCCTGGGCATGGTAAGGTACTACCGGCGCTTTGTGCCCAATTTTGCCATGACAGCTGCCCATTGACTAACCTGACAAAAGGGAAAAAGTCAGTTATAGTTCAGTGGAAAGACAGGGAAGAAAAAGCCTTTCAGCAGCTGTGCTATGCCAATATCTTTTGCTGATTGCCCCTGATTTCTCAAAAGAGTTTATTGTGCAAACAGATGCCTCCAGTGAGGGACTAGGGCATGGGTGTCAAACTGGTGGCCCTCCAGGTGTTGCCAAACTACAAGTCCCATGAGGCATTGCAAGATTAACAGTTACAAGCATGACTCTCAAAGGCAGAGGCATGATGGGACTTTTAGTTTCACAACAGCTGGAGGGCCGCCAGTTTGACAACCTTGGACTAGGAGTTGTTCTGTCTCAAGAGGTCAATGGCGAGGAACACCCAGTGGCTTTCCTGAGCAGGAAATTATCGCGGGGAATTATCGCTGGAGACTTTAAGAGTTAATGGGTGGGGTGAGTCTCCAGCCTCTCACCCTTGGTAGCCGAAGTGTTAATGGCCTCATGTGGGAGGACAGATGTGTTAAGGCTTTAGCCCTCACCTAGCAGGGGGGCTCTGGGAGCTGTGGGTGGGCAGACATGGCTGAAAAACTGTGTCTGCTCCTAAATTGCTGAGCCATTTTGCTGGAGTTGCTATGCACTGTGTTTGACCCTCGGAGAAAGGCAAGAACACAACTCTGGAGTGACAGGTCTGTGGAGGGACCTATTCTGTGGACGACGGTAAACCCCCGAAGATTATTTTGAATTAAGGACTGTTTTTTTTTTGTCTGCTCCAGACTTGTGTTTGAGCCCCCCCCGTAGAGGCTGAAGGACTATTACCCTGCTGTTAGGACAGTTTTATTTCTTTTTGCTGCCAGAAAGCTGTCTTTTTGTTATTGTTATATGAAAAAAATGAAGACGGTCCTTGATTTTACATGGCACAGTGTGAGCGTAATCCCCCAGAATATCACACCATACATTAGCTATCTAATGCATCTTAATCACTTCAAGTCCAGATACTTTCACCCCCTTCCAGTCCAGGCCAATTTTCAGCTTTCAACACTATCACACTTTGAGTGACAATTACTCAGTCATGCAACACTGTACCCATATGACATTTTTATCCTTTTTATGAGACAAATAGAGCTTTTTCTTATGGTGGTATTTGATCACCACTGGGTTTTTATTTTTTGCCATATAAATGAGAAAATACAGAAAAGTTTGAAAAATAAATTTTTTTCTTAGTTTTTGTAAATAGATAATTTTTATTCACAAATTTAGGCCAAAATGTATTCTTCTACATTTTTGGGGTAAAAATAACCCAAAACAGTTTCTATTATTTAGTCTGTGTGAAAGCTATAGTCTGCTATGGGATATATATTTGAAAATTGGGATATATATTTGAAAACTGATCAGTTGAGATCCTAAAATGCTGGATGCTGGTATGGCATATGGCAGTGATCAGGATGCTGGTATGGGGTATGGTGGTGATCAGGACATTGGCATGAAGTAAGGCAGTGATCAGGACGCTGATATGGCAGTAGCCAGAACGCTATTATGAGGTATGGGGGTGATCAGGATGCTGGTATGGGGTATGGCTGTGATCAGGATGCTAGTATAGGGTATGGCGGTGATCAAAACACTGGTATGGGGTATGGCAGTGATGAGAACGCTGGTATGGGGTATGGCAGTGATGAGAATGCTGGTATGGGGTATGGCAGTGATGAGAACGCTAGTATATGGTATGGTGGTAATCAGGGTGATGGTATGGGGTATGGCGGTGATCAGGACATTGGCATGAAGTAAGGCAGTGATCAGGACGCTGATATGGCAGTAGCCAGAACGCTATTATGAGGTATGGGGGTGATCAGGATGCTGGTATGGGGTATGGCTGTGATCAGGATGCTAGTATAGGGTATGGCGGTGATCAAAACACTGGTATGGGGTATGGCAGTGATGAGAACGCTGGTATGGGGTATGGCAGTGATGAGAATGCTGGTATGGGGTATGGCAGTGATGAGAACGCTGGTATATGGTATGGTGGTAATCAGGGTGATGGTATGGGGTATGGCGGTGATCAGGGTGATGGTATGGGGTAAGGCGGTGATCAGGACACTGGTATGGGGTATGGTGGTGATAAGGGCGCTGGTATGACATATGGGGTGATGGGGTGATCAGGATGCTGTTATGGGGCATGGCGGTGATAAAGATGCTGGTATGGGGTAAGGCGGTGATCAGGATGCTGGTATGGGGTATGACGGTGATCAGGATGCTGGTATGGTGGTGATCAGGGCACTAGTATGGTGTATGGAGGGTGATCAGAGTGCTGGTATGGTGTATGGAGGTGATCATGGCACTGGTATGGTGTATGGCAGTGATCAGGGAGTTGGTTTGGGGTATGGCGGTGATCAGGACATTGGTATGGTTTATGGGGGTGTTTTGTGCACACTGGGACAGGTGACAGGGCCTCCCTGCATTATTTATTATGTAAATACTGAGGCAGTGATCAGGGACACAGGTGCACTAAACTGGGGCGGCTGGCACTGCAGTGTGTGAGTGTACAAACAGCCTGACAACTTCTCTCTCATCTCACACTAAGAGCAGAGAGAAGTGATCTTTACTTTCAGTTTCATTGTTTACTATGTGAGTGCTGTGGTCACAGCAGTCACATGGTAAAACACCACGTGATCGCCTGAACACAGCGATAATGTGATCTGCTGCATCTGGGCGACACACCAGGCTCTGGGGTGCACGCTCTGTGAGCTGCACAGAAGCCATCAACACGGGTTGACATACAGGTACGTTAGCCCGCATTGGCGCTGCTTCCCGTCCGCTCTCTATGTACAGTGGGTGGACGGGAAGAGGTTAAAAGGAAGCTATATTTTTTTTATTTCACATTTTATTAAGTTTGCTAGTTTATAAATTTGTCTTTATGCATTTTTTTTATTGCTTTAACTAACAGCACTGCCTTTCAACTTGTTGATTATCTCAGTCTAACCAATGACCCATTTAGGCCTTTAAGTTGGAACCACAGTATAGCCACTTCCATCACAGATCCAAAATAATAATAAGTTTATTCTTTATTGTAGGATAGAGAGCGGTGCCCTACAAATTATTCCTTTATGCCAACCTGACCAACTCCACATAGCTGATTCATAGTTCTGGTGCAGCTTAATATTGTACAGCCATTTATTCCAAACTGCATATATATATCTGGTTAATTGGCCATTATCAGTTAAGTGTATGGAAACCATGACTTTTATGAAGTTGGGTTTATGGACCAACACAATAGAACATCATCAGGCATGCTATGGTGAGACGGGCTAAGAGGAACCAAAAAGTATCCTCTTATAAAAATGTTTTAAACTAGCAAACCATTTACCAATATTATGCATGAATGCCCGTGAACCTTTACTTGCAAGAAAATACAATCTATACTACCCCATACTACCGTAACAATGCCCCAAAATAAAGCAGAGTTTCATTAGTGTTTATACTGAAGGACTTATATGAATTGAACTTCAACTAAATTTGTTCTACTATTTACTTATCTCTGAATAATTTACTGGGAAATCAACATCTATAAAAAGTATACATTTATACAAATATTACAGAAGAACAGTACATACAGTTATGTAAAAAAGTCTATAGAGTATCAACTGTTAAGCTAAAACAGTGGTAGGCAGGCTACAGACAATGTGGAGGACAAAATCATCATTTAGAAAATATGCTTTTATTTGTTAGGTATAGTGAACTACTTTAGGATAAAATATTTTATATAGGAAGCTTCACATTCAAAGCAGAGAAGCTTGTGGTGCTTACAGCATACAGTCCCCTTTGTACTACATAAAGTATCTTAAAAAATGGTGTAAAATGGTATGTAATGTATACCTTGTTTGGAAATATCTGGTATGAAATACACTTCACTTACAATATCAAAGCTAGTCTACAGAGTTAAACCATGTCAACCTTCAAGAATAATGTTCCCTGCCATGATGTCAAGAATAATATCCTGATCCATATCTGAAACCAGCTATGAAAAAAATTGTATCTATTGCTAAAACCGGAGAGTGCAAAATCTGGGGTAGCTGTGCATAGAAACCAATCAGCTTTCAGGTTTTTTTTCAAAGCTTAAATGAAAAAGCTGAAGTTAGAAGCTGACTGGCTAACATGCACAGCTGCACCAGATTTTGCATTCTCGTTTTAGTAAATCAACCCCAAAGTGTCTTTTTTTTAACTTTGTAGAGCAATAGGCATCTTTGACAACATCTATACAGCCAAAAATGATTAGGATTCCCTTAAACACATCTATTACCTGCAATAAATGTAGCATTATGCACTACTTACTCTAGGAGCCAAGTTGGCATTCCCCTCATTTGTTTCTTCTGCAATATAAACTTAGTATTGAACACAAATCTCTCACATTTCCTAAACTATTAAGAACTCCCACTTTTCTGAATTCAAATCTGAAAAGCAATACAGTGGATTGATATGGTTCCCTGATGTGGATACAGCACTGCAGAGCTGGGAAAGGGTTTGTCTGATTGGAAAAGCAAACTAAAGTTGTCCCAATCCTAAATTTAAACTACACACAAAAAAGATGTTCTTCAATAGCAAGCCGATTGTAGCATATATTCTTTTTTTTTAGGCCTCTTGCACATGGGAGTAAGAAAATGCCACTTTTTTTTATGGATTTGAACACAGAACAATGCACACAGTTGCATAAAGATTAGTAATACAATGATGAGTACAGAGATGTAAAATAACAATAGAAAAATGTATGTTTGCGTGCAGTAATTTACGCACCTATGCGTGCATATGGCAACACTGGCAACTATTAAAGGATGAAAAAAATGTTACACATACGCACATTTACAGAACATTTTACTCAAGATCTTTCTGTCAATATGATCCTGAGCATAAACATCAGTAAGTTATTATGTCTATGTACAAGAGACCTTAGGTGTATTTTTGCCTGTGTTGGATGTCATAATCTGCTTCAAAATGTTCTGCTTTGATCTCAGACCTCACTTCTGCTGGTCTATTACAATGTTATTTATAATGTTTGTTGGAAAAATTCCATAAGGAGTTTTTTCCCTTGTGCTCCAGTAATACAAAGTGGCACCAGTAACATAGTACTGTATCATGGTACTGTGCAATCTTTAGGTACAGCTCATATCATGCAACTCAAAGAAATATAGTGGTCAGTTGGTATAATGCAAAGAGGATCTTTACAATTCTACAAACAATATGAGTGATGGCTGCAGGGGAAAAATTACACTTTGCATTTCAATTGATTAATACCTGTTGTAGGTCTGCTAAAGAGTATAGGTGAATCTGTTGGAAAAGATATTCCCGAGGAAAAATTCTGAAACGACAAAAAGTAAAAGAATATTTTCAATAGACAGAAGAAGTAGAAAATATCAAGTTAGTGCACTGAATTGGTGACCCCCTAAGTTGAGATAACAAAATCTTTGAAAATCTACCCTGCTACAGTCTGCCTAAACCTTACCTGTAACCTGCTTCACCAGGATGGATATTTAGCATTCATCAATTTTCATCATTGCTCAGTTAGTCCATTTGTTTTCATCATATGATCCACTGGAAAATACCTGCTGTCTTGCTAAATCTTTATTTACAGTACTTTTTATGCAAAACAGAGTCTATTGTTTCTTTCTTTACCCCTGGTTCACATATCTGTCGCCGTGTGGGCTGCGTTTTGCATGGGAACGAGAGCCCATTCATTTGAATGGACTTCCATGCCCAAGGACACGCAGGGAAGACATCCCTGCACTTTTGGAAACCGAGGTTCCCAGTTCAGTTGCGATTCCCAGTGTGGGTGGCGTGCCATTAGTATTTTTGGCACCCGCCCGAGGGTCCCGTATTGCTCTGTGCGGGTGGTGCAGCTGCAGGTATTTTTGTGCGGGTCCCACAGCCGCATATATGTGAACCTAGCCTTATACAGTATATTTAAATTAAAAAACAGCTTAATTTGGAACTGTACAAAATACTAAATACTTTACAAGAAAAAAACAAAAAAAAACAAAGACGCATGCATGACTGGTTGAAATCAATCATAAACTGAATTCCAGAATTTACTACTTTGCTGTACGATGGTATTTAAAAAAAACAGAGCTTCTGGCTGTCAATAACAATGGGTTTTAATAGGTGTCAGTTAAGGAAAATTGGTGATTGGGCCTTTTGAGTTGGGGAAAAAATAACATTAGCAAAAAATGATCACGAGATTCAATGTGCAGCAGTGTTAAAACTGATCATCCAATTCAGTGAACCAAGCTTTTTGTGAGATAAAACAAAACAACACAGCATAAGACTTGCAATGGTTAAGTGCAAAAAAAAATGGAATTATTTTGTTCATTTCTTTTATTCAAATTATATTTTTTATTAGATTTTTAGCAGAAAATTATTATGAGATAAAATAAGAAGTAGAGTAAGGCTAGGTTCAGGCTGTGTTTGAGCTGTTTCTGCATTGCTTTTTGCGTTGTGTTTTTGATGAATTTTGTATTTTCTTTTTAATTTTTAAAAATTTTTCTTGTTGCTAGGCAGATTTAAAATGCAAAATGCATAAAAAGCATCAAAAACGCAATACATGCTTTTCTGCAGCATTTCCATAGAAGTCTATAGAACCAAAAACGCAACTTTTTGCTTTCAAAAATGTTCCTGACCCTTTCCAAAAAATGCACCGGGTGAAAACGCACAGGTGTGAACATGTCCCATAGGAAATCATGTTAAATGGACTGTATTGTGTTTCTGCAAAACACTGCAAAAAATGCTTAGGTGTGAACCTAGGGTTAGACTGTGCTGTGTTTTCCAATAGCAATGTAACCTTACATAATCATTTACAGACTATGACATGCTGCAGACATACCTGATTATTTCTGATGTCACTTGGAAATGACAAATATGGCTCCCCAATAGTACACATCCAGAAAACATCAGAAATTCAGTTATTAATTCCAAAGTATTATGAAAAATTCTTTACAATTGATTATTCAAGAAATATAGGAAAGTGTAACACTAGAAGTGCTCTTAGAAGACTTAACAACAAGGAAATAACTTCTAAAAGGCCATTAACTATATCTGTCCTGCTACCTTTATTATTCTTTATAAAGCATCGACTGAATCAAAAGATACTGGGCAAAGGAAAAA